ACAGCAACGTTACTGATCCACATGCAAAGAAAAGCGGCGACAAACATAAGAACCAAAACTATAACCCTGGGATTGGTTCCCGATCTGGACAGAATCATGACTGCCATTGCTTTGGCAATATTGTACTTGGAAAGCGCAGCTGCCAGCGTGAAGCCACCTAGTAGAACGGTGATCACAGGAGACCACATTTTCGAAAACACGAAATCAGAAGCTTGCTTAGCTGTCAAAGCGTGGCCATGGTTATCGACAGGAACGCGTAGAACCACTACTAACAACGGGACTAGTAACGAAGTGACAAATAACGGAATTGCTTCAGTCGCCCAAAGCAGGGATGCAGCAATAACAATGGCGAAGCAGTTGGATTGGGGCCTTGACTGGAGCACTGGAAATGCAAGCAAGAGCAAGAATATTGTAGAAATGAGAGTCAGCTTGTAAATTGCAGGATTACTGAAGGAGTCTGGTAACGCAATTCCACAAACGCGGATTCGAGAATGCGGCATTTGTTCTTTATCCGTACCAACTGCCTGTGTATGGCGCTCCATACCAATCATGTCACGCCAGACGGTATTGCGTTCATATACCACATGCTCCCTGAGATAACCTTTCAAGGTTTCAGCTGCCAAGACCTCATCGCCATTTAATACTAGATCGGCATACTCCCGGACAACACGATCAATACGGCGAGCTAGCTCATCCTGAGTTGACGATTTGAAAATATGCGTTTGTTTGATGACCTCTTCAGTGTAGATTGGCAGGAGACTCAGTCCAAGTGTTTTATCGAACTTTTTGAGAATCTTCCTAAACCCCGTTTTGTTAATATCAACAAATGTAGACAGCTCGTTGAGCGAAACGTACATTGAAATCAGTTCGCGTTTTAGAGAAATGCGTCTGTACGAGAACTCATCGTGATGGTCCATCTTGCGAGCAGTGCTGTTCTTTCGTTTCCGTCGATGTGCAGCTCCCAACGTCGACGTGTTCATTTCATTTTCACTGGAATCGGATGCCTCACTGCGTATGCCCGGATTTGTAGAAGTGCCTGGTTCCAAAACTGGACTACCCGGAAAATCAAAAGCGGACACCTCCTCGCATAATGCATCTTCTTTTTCGTATGTTTTGACCTCTTCAGTCTGATAGAAAGAATCCACTTTCTTGAGCTGTTGGTTTAATGCTTGTGTAAAAGCAGGCTCAGGATCACGGGCCATCAATGCCGCGGATTCTTGTCCATTCGGAGGACGCAGGCTCTCTTTTTCCAAAGCATACAGAAGCTTTTTGAGCGCTCCATAGTCAACATAGTTGTCACGCCATTCGGGAACGGCATTAAATTGTAGAGCTGAGCTGAATTTCATGGCAGCTCTTGGTCGAGACGCAAGTGGTACGAGGGGGACGGTATCTCGTTCAGTCAGTGTATAAGCTAAGCATGCAAGTGTGATAGCCGAAGTTATCGAGGGAAGGCTTAAGGGGAAAACGCATCGAAAGATTAAACATGTGTATAGTTTTCGCGTACAAACCGGTTCTGAATTTATTATTTTAACATCGTTCATGGTCACGAAACTGATTTGCACCATTTGCGCACGGCATGCTTCAAATGCCGCCTGATGTGATGCTACATGCAACATGTCTTCAGCAGCAAGCCGCAGCAGCAGACAGTTTAGTACTTGTTCTACGAGTATCGTGTAGATTTATGTTTTAGCAAATATTTCCGAATTGAAGAAACTGCTCATTTATGTTCAATACGCTACACGTTATCCAACATGCCTATGAGACCTAATTAAGGTACAGTTCTACACTGACAGTCCAGCCCACTTGAAAATTTGATGGAAATCACTTTTGAATAGCTGAACTCAAAACCAGAGAAAC